TTACGAGTTGGTCATAGATGGATGCTTTGGATCGTTAGATCCGGATCCAATACCTTCTTGTTAAAATTGTATAGAGGCGAAATGTTCGAATCTTTATTCTTTTGGAAAGAAGAAAGAATCACAAAGTTGTTGAGGTTAATTCACTTAGATGTTAGTGGCACTTGTCCACAAACATAATACTACTCATGTTGGATAACATTCACCGAAGATCACTCTCGGTTGGACTATAGTTTATTTTGAATAAACACAAGTCCGAATACTTTGCAAAAATGTTTCAAAGAATTCAAGAAATGTAAGTTGATGAGTAAGACATCTAAAGTATTTACCTCCTTAGATTTGATCCAAGGAAAGGTAACACTTTAGATGAGTTTCCTTGAAAGATATCAAGGAAAATAGCATCATAAGATAATGTATTTCTCCATTAGGAGAAGAACGAACTCGAATAAGATTTAGTTCGTTAGATGTTATCTAATTACCCATATATAGGATATATACTTCTAAAAACAATATGATTGTCAATGAGAAGATCTTCCAATATTTTTTTCATGACTCCATAAGATGTAGTTGGAAAGAAAGACAAATCTTAAGCATGTTAAAGATTTGGGGTTGTGCTAATAAGCAATATTTGTTTGAGATAACAATTTTTTAGGATATCCTTAAAATTAACTTTTGGATATCGCTTCTATAAACCAACTAACAAATGTTGTTTTGTTGGGTAGTTCATTGTAATTCTACAATGTGATTTGCCTAAAAGCAAATGAACGAGAGATAGAACTCAAAGAATGGGTTCTTTGAGAGACAAGATAAGTAATCAACAAATATAACAACCTAGTTCCTATACCACAAGCTCCAAGGTAGTCGATAAGGATTTATAAACCGTCTCAGTTGAATGGTTTTGAACTTTATGACTACATTGAGTGCATATACGATATATACTCAAGAAAATGGTAAAGTACCATTTGACTCGAAATAATGAAACCTTCATAGCTAATTGGTAGCTTAAGGTGACTACAATCAAAGAGAATGGTTGACTTTAAAGGAACCATTTTTGACGTAGTCTTAGTTTCAATTAATTCGAAAGATTGCTAGCTACAACTAAATGGTGATTCAATGTTTTGACATAATATGGGTTTCCGAAACCATTATTAAGATAGTCTTGATAATATATGTCTAAAACTATAAATCACAAGACATGTAAGTTGTAGAGATCCATCCATCATGGATCTTAGCAAGTTAGTGGGAGCTATTTGCATTTTATGAGAAAAAGGATCAAATCGTTTGATTTCTCATAAAGATGTAAATGAATCTTTTGTTTACTAGTTTTACAAAAGATTAGTGGGAGTTAATCATGTTCCTAAAAATTTAAATATATATGATATATTAATTTTGGAAATGAAAAGAATACTTCTTCGTTAAAGTTATGACTTTAATACATTATATGAAAATAGAATGTATATGGGAGATATAGTCTAGTCTATATACATGGGATGGAAATCTATAATGATATATTTCATGATATAATTGGATTATATCAATCCCTAATAATAGACAATGGATGCTAGGAAGTTTCTCATATGATGATAAACTTCAATAAGAAGGACGATTCTAGTGAGACTAGCAAGTTGCTCTTCTCAAAGGGAATGTACCCTTTGACTCCCAAAGAAATAATGCGTAAATAGAATCCTTTATGCATACGCAGAAAGGTGATTTATGTATTTCATATTGTATGAAAAACATTGATATGAGTTGTACCTAGAACGGTACAAGACGATATCAGTGCAAGCCCAGGATCAGAACCATGGCAACTGTCAAGTGAGTCCTTAAGTATTTAAGAAATACTAAAGGATAGATTCCTCAAAGAATGAGGAAGAATTAGAGTAACGTAATGGAAGCGTAAATGTATTAGATTATGAATCTAATCCATCATTGGATGTTTCTTCATTATGAATGAAGAGATAAACGAATATCTCTTTATTATGACTAAAGAGATATTTGGATGGAAACATTAAGTAATGACTTTAGTGTGTTCCATTATGAATGCAAGATATATTGCCATATAGAAGTTTACAACAATGTTGTTTGGATGGGAAAGTTCATTTATGAACTCTCTATTCGGTTCCAACCAGAAAGTGTATGACACTAATGGGGCGATAGCTCAAGCCTGGGAATCAAGGTCTCATCAAGATCCGAACTCAAATGAGAGACTGAACCACATGATTGAGAATCATGTATAATGGTGACGTCGTTATTCTCAAGGTTGCTTCTATGGATAACACATATAGATATCCACTTGTCTAGGCCTACTACTTCAGCCATTTATGAAATGACTACAGAAGAGGTATCATCACTGATGACCAAGCTGATTGGCTCTAGTGCAAGTGGGAGATTGTTGGAAATGTGCCCTAAAGCCAATCATGTGATGATACTTTACGGACATTTCACATGTTAAACTAATCTAGTTTTACATATAAAGGGCAAAGATTATTGTTTGAGCCGTCTCATATAAATGTTATATGCTTAAACGATAAAGTCCAAGGAATATGTGATTGGGAGAATGTAATCTAATGAAGTTAGATTCATGAGACCATTCTTTCGTAGACACATCCTAAATGTTCCTGATCATAGGATTGTCCAATTGGGCATTGACAGTCCGTTAAGATCGGTACGTACTATGTCTTCTCTCAGGGAGAGTGATTAGTCTCGAGTCATTGGTGTGTGTGACATCAAGACAAGTACGTAGGTGCTCAATAGAGAATGAGTTCACTGAACGTGATCAACGAAGAGTTCTCATATTCCATGTCACATAAGAACTCATGGTTGGGATAATGCAAAGTAGTCCTTTGACCTGAGGCATCACAGTTGTCTTGTGGTTAAGTCCTTGATCTTTGATTATGTCAAAGTCACCCCCTCGGGGTGTCCACGGCATCGTTGGGGTCAAGTGACTTAGCTATGGAGACAAGTGAATGCGCAACAAGGGATCTCTAACCTTCAAACAGTTTGAGGGAGAATACTCTATGATATGATTTAGAATCTCTAGGCCAGAGTATGAATGAGATTAGGGAATGCGTTCCAAATCACATTCAAGGTAAATCATATAAGCACAAGATTCACATTGGATAGTAGACATGAACAAATAAACTATCAAACCAAACAATGTGGTCAAGAGTATTAGATTAGAGAAAGACCGTATTGCATTTGTAATCCTGAACTGAATAGGTTCTCTAACCTCTTCTGATTAGCTTGGGTAACCATGACATGCTGCTAGGCGTCAACCATGGTTTGTGGAAGCCCTAAACGTGTGTAATCACTAAAGGGAGAATTGAAAATAGTTTCAATTCACAATCGATGTAAAATGGTTTTAATCGCCCACTACCTTGCTAAAAGGAACCTAATGGATCGCACACCATAAAAGGTAGAGATTGGAGATTAAACGGAAATGAGTAAGAATGATTAAATGGTTTAATCATTTATTTATGGCAAAGATTAATTAATATGTTAATTAATCAAACGAATAAGTTCGTTAAAGACATCGGGGATAGTTTTGGACCTTAAGGCCCAATGGGCTTCGAACGTCAAGCCCATTAACTTAAGTTGTATGACAATTTAATGAATAAAGATTCATTAAAGCCCAAAAGCCCAAAATTCCTTAGGTGGCTGGCCATATGGTGATGAATTAGGGTTTTGGTTATTTAGGTCACTTAAAGAAGTGACTATATAAATGACTTTATAGCCAAATATTCATTAGGATTAAAAGGGTTTATTTTTGGGGAAAATTGGTGAGAATTGTCTCTCCATTTTCTCTCTAAAGAGGCCAACACCTTGGAGGGTACATCTAGCAATCCTAACAACTCCAAGGTCACTCATTTTCTTCTACAATCTAACCTTGGTGAAGAGACTTAGAGGTTCTCAATTTTGGGAACTTGGAGAACCTATTCTTCCATCCAAATCCATGGATCTAAGAAGCAAGGAATGAAGGCCCTATCTCTTTGGGTGATTAGCCTTTGCTTATGCAAAGAGGAATCTACAAAGGTATTAATTTCAACTCACTTTGTTTTGAGTTGATTAATTGGTTCACCAATCTACTAGGCTTTGAATTTCATGGTAATGTTTTGTTTTTGAGTGCATACAAGCATGATTCCGCCTTTAATTGTTAATTGCATGCTATATGATGTTGCTCAAATGAACATGTTTTTCAAAATAATTCCTTCAGACAAGCGGTCCCTTACTATAACATACTTTTTTTTTTCAAACATATATGAAACGACGCTGTTTCGTTTACTTTTTTTTTACCAGGACCAAAACGACGCCGTTTTGGCCTGGATTTAAAAAATAAAAAATAAAAAACACCTAACTCTGCTTCTGCAGAACCAGATCGAAGCAAAACCAAAAAAATGTTAGCGGAGGCTCTGCTGCTGCAAAACCAGATCAGTTTGAGCAGCATGCCATCATCAGAAAAATCTCAGTGGGGGCATCCGTCCCCTAGGCCCATAGTAGCACCGCCCTTGTTGGTAGACTAATAATAAGAAAATGGGGAAAATGGAAAGTGGGAATGTAGTTGTACATATACAAGATCATATAAACCTATCCTATTCTTTTAACAACCTCAATTGCAAAGAACAGTTGTATCCATATCCATTCAAAAAGCAAACAAATAGAGAATCTCTTCCAAGTTCCAAAGTCTTCCAAAACTTTCCTCTATGACCAATGAAATATCCTCCGTAATTGAACCAAGTATGCTCCTTGTAAAAGCCCTAGGCTTAGTTTCAAACTAGACAATCACAAAAGATATATCGCGGGCATACATTCATAAAGTGTAAAGGGACTCGGTTCGGTTCGATTTTTGAACCTCTAAAATTGAAACCGAACCAATAAAGTTCGGTTCCATTTCGTTTTTTCTCTTTTGGTTCAGTTTTTTTTTTTTGCGTTTTTCAGTTTTTTGGTTTTGGTTCAATGTGTTCGGTTTTTTTTTCGGCTTTTGATTTTTTGAACCCACCCCTAGCCTATGGTACCCTCTTCAAATTCTATTAATTGACCTACCATTACTTCATCAAGACCATAAATACGAGCAATGCCATCACCTACTTGAAGTACAATACCGGTATTTAAAATCTTTACTTCTCTATTATATTGCTCAATACTCTCGCGGATAATATTACTAATTGCATTTGCTCAATTGTTACCATGAGCATTAATTTTTTTTTTTGTTGGAAGAAAAAAATAATGCTTGTAGTAGAAGGACTAACTAATCCGTTATTTCTTTCACCGTTCCAAACATACCAATATTAGTACTTATGGTACGTAAATATAATTTGTTGTTTAAACAACTATTCAGAGTTCCTAGAGCTCCTTGTAAGGCTTGCTAAAAAACCTGTTATCTAACTTGATTAATCGCCCTTTGTTGTTCAAAATGAACGATTTCGTTTTTGTAATTTTCTAATTGTTCCAAATCTTGTATGTCACATCCCGTTCGAGCCCCCACCACATCCCGGGCTCGACTCTGCCGTGGCACGATATTGTCCATTTTGGGCCTTGACCATGCCCTTACGGTTTTGTTTCTAAGAACTCACACGAGAACTTCCCAGTGGGTCACCCATTATGGGATTGCTCTCGTGTGAACTTGCTTAACTTCGGAGTTCCGACGAAACCCGAAGCCAGTGAGCTCCCAAAAGGCCTCGCGCTAGGTAGAGATGGGAATATACATATAAGGCTTACAGGATCCATTCCCCTGGCCGATGTGGGATGTTATAATCCACCCCCCTTAGGGGCCTGACGTCCTCATCGGCACACTTCTGGCCAGGGATTGGCTCTGATACCAAATTGTAACATCCCACATCGCCCAGGGGAGTGGATCATGTAAGCATTATATGTATATTCCCATCTTTACCTAGCGCGAGCCCTTTTGGGAGCTCATTGGCTCTGGCTTTCGTAAGATCTCCAAAGTTAAGCGAGAAAAGGTCTAGAGCATTCCCAGGATGGGTGACCTACTGGGAAGTTCTGCTCGCGTGAGTTTGTCACCCTTCCCTTAGGGGCTCGACGTCCTCATCGGCAAACTTCCGACCAAGGATTGACTTTGATACCAAATTGTCACATCCTGGCCCGGGCCCTCACCACATCCCGGGCTCGACTCCGCCATAGCACGATATTGTTCGCTTTGGGCCCCGACCACGCCCTCACAGTTTTGTTTCTGGGAACTCACACGAGAACTTCCCAGTGGGTCACCCATCCTGGGATTGCTCTCGCGCGAAGTCGCTTACCTTCGGATTCCGATGAAACCCGAGGCCAGTAAGCTCCCCCAAGGTCTCGTGCTAGGTAGAGATGGGAATATACATATACGGTTTACAGGATCCACTCTTCTGAACGATGTGGGATGTTACATTATAAGTGGAATTAATCAAATTCAAATTTTCTCATTTTATTTCAGAATATCCAGTCATTCGAAACTGATCTGCTTCTGTTTCTACCTTCCATAAGCTGGCTCGGGCTTTTTCCAGTTGGTCTAGGGCCCCTTCACGCAACTCTTTTGAATTTCGAATAGTCTTCAAGATCATTTGTTTTCGATTATCTAATAAATCACTTAATTAAAGTAGATTATCTTTCCATTCATTTCAAAACTTTCACGATCCCTTCCCAAACCAAACATGAACCTTTCGATTCATTTGGCTCTCACGCTCAATTTATTGAATTCTTTTTGAGAATTCCCATATTCTTTTTTACTGTAAAATGTAATGTGCCTATCCTCTCTTCTATATTCATATTCGAAAATATATAAACTGATCACTAATCCAAGAACATAACATTCAGAGGACTCTTTTGACCAAACAACTAATTGTCAGCAAGCTTGTTTTTGTTTTTCAAAGAATTCTTCTTACTTTAATACATAATACATAGGTCATCGATTCAACATTGGATAAAAAAGATAAAATGTGGGATGAAATACCCATGTTTTCCAATCAAATAACATATTCAAATCATTTTATTGACATGAGTGTTTTATATCGAAAAAAAATTCCAACTATTTGTTTTGAAACCATTTCTATCTTAACTTATTAACTAACATAGTAGTAGAAAGAATACCATGCTGCATCTAAACTTCAAACGATTTAGCTTTAACCCTGTTAATGGTTTACATTATTGGTTGATAGAGCATCAAAGTAGATTTACCAATGAATCGCAAAATGCTATGGTTCTTCAATTTTTTTTTTCAGAAGAAATTTGTAGAATCATGCACCTTTTTTTTTTCGAGTTATAACAAAAAAATGCAGTTGGTCATATCCAGCCTATTTTTGAAATAAACAACTCGCACACTCCCTTTCCAGAAAAAATCAACACACCAAGCACTACGCTTAGATTTATTGGATTTTTTGCTAAAATATCGGTATTAAACCCAAAACTCCTGGCCGATGGCCAATAACCCAAGGAAAGGAAAGAATCGGTTACATTTTTCGTTTGATATCCTCTTTCTTATAGATAGACTAATTATTCTATATATATTGTTTTTTGTATTATTTTTATTATGAATTTCCCTATTTCTAAATAAAATGTACTAAATAGAGTAACAAAATATATATAGATTTATAAATGGATTTTTTTTTTTCAATTGAAAATTTCCAATAAGTGGAATTAGGTATCCGATCTTATGTCAGGTCAAAACTACAATGGAAATTTTAGCAACTCAAAATAATGATTATGTGAATGGAAATTTCCATACATATAGCACTTTATGATTTAGTCCATGGTACGAAATTAAACCCCTACTCAAAACTACAACTTTACCAAAACAACAGATAACGACCCAGCCTCTCAACAACATGTCAACATAGCTTTATAACTTCAAAACGCACCTAAATTTCCCAAAAATTTCACACATATCCACAAATTCCAGCTAATTACATCAACGAACATGCATAATTAACATTACACCTAAGTTAATTTATACTAATTAATAAAATAACAAAATTAAATTCTAAGGTTCCACATTTTCAAAACTCACCAAATTTGAAATTCATTTGGGGAATCAAATATGACATTAGTTATTGCGGAAGCACTCTGAACTCAGCTCAAATGAAGCGAAAAACACATCCTTTCTATGAAGCTGACCGCACAGCCTTCAACCAATACTCCCCTAATTTCCGTCATTGCTGCTTGAAATTTCTATGTGGCCGAAGAACATAAGCACATACCAACTATTACTGGATTTGGAAAAGGAAGCAAGTTTTCAAACAAGAAGATGTTTTCGACAACAAGGATGTTTGAGTAAACGCGGGAGAATGAGTGCTTTAGGAGGAGGACAAGACTAACAAAAGATGTACGTAAGTGTTGATGGCAGGAATGGGGACAATTTAAATCCCAAGAAATTTTGAATTAATGCCATGTTGTTATAAATAGGCAAAAGTTAGAGAAATAACCTTTGCTAAGAGCGAGGACGAAGTGGTGCAAAATATCACACTGTTTAGTTTTTTTACTACCACTACAAAAGTATTGCCGGTATTAGAAAATGAGGGATACTGAGAGTATTATATTTCTTCCTTTTCTCTTCTTGATATTCTCTTACTTTGAACAATCTAAGTGCTCTATTTATAGAGCCACTTCAATGGAAACTTACAAAAGGGTTACTATTTAGCATATGAGTCTTTACTATTCACATGTGGGCAAACATACCCACTTTTTACAACACTCCCCCTTGGCTGCCCACATATCAGTATCAATTGCCTCGTTAAAACCTTGCTTGGAAAAACCCAGTGGGAAAAAAAACCATAGCAACGGAAAAAGAGTACAACTTTACCCAGATGCTGTTGAGCATGCTTATGTTGCCTCGTTAAAACCTTAATAGGAAAAACCCAATGGGAAAAAATCCTAATCGAAGGAAAAATAGTACAACATGCATGTATCATGGATGCTCCTCCTGAATTGTATCTTCCCCTGATTTCCGCATTCTTCAAATTTGTAAGCCGACGTAATCTGATTCCCTGCACTAACTTCTGGAATGTGCACTTTGGTAGAGATTTGGTGAACAAGTCTGCTAAATTTTCATTGGAACGGATTTGTCTGACTTCAATAACTTTACCCTTCTGAATCTCATGTGCACTGAAAAATCTTAGAGATATGTATTTAGTCTTATCACCCTTAATGAATCATTCCTTCATCTGGGCGACACAGGCTCATTATCTTCATGGATTACAGTTGGAGTGTCTATCTTTGAAGGTAGACCAAATGAATTCCAGATGTGATGGATCATTGATCTTAACCAAGAACATTCACGACTTGCTTCATGTAAAGCAATTATTTCCGAGTGATTGGAAGATGTAACAACTAGTGTTTGCTTCGTTGATCGCCATGAAATTGCAGCATCTCTATTAGTGAACACATATCCATTTTGTGAGCGGGCTTTATGTGGATCGGAGAGAAAACCAGCATTTGCGTATCCAACAAGGATCTGTTCATTTGTGGGCTTGTCTGAGTAGAAGAAACCCATATTTGTTGTCCCACGAAGGTATCGTAAAACATCTTTGACTCCCTTCCAATGACGAATTGTTGGAGCAAAGCTGTACCTGGCTAACAAGTTAACTGAAAAAGGTATATCTGGTCTAGTACATTGTGCTAAATATAATAAAGCACCTATTGTGCTCAAATATGGTACTTCTGGACCAAGGACCAGTTCATCATCTTCTTTTGGACGGAATGGATCTTTCTTAATGTCCAAAGAACGAACGACCATTGGGGTGCTAAGTGGATAAGCTTTGTCCATGCTAAATCGCTTCAATATTTTTTCAATGTAAGTTGATTGATGGACCAAAATTCCATTAACACAATGCTCGATCTGTAGGCCGAGACAATATTTTGCTTCCCAAGGTCTTTCATTTCAAATTCGGTTTTCAGATATTCAGCAGTTTTGTTGAGCTCTTCAGGGGTTCCAACTAGGTTCATATCATCGACGTATACTGCCACTATAGCAAATCCAGTATTTGATTTCTTAATGAACACACAAGGGCAGATGACATTGTTGGCATATCTTTCTTTAATCAAATACTCACTGAGACAATTATACCGCATTCGCCTAGATTGTTTCAGCCCATATAGTGATCGCCTTAATTTGATTGAGAACATACCCCGTGGTTTGTCAGTTGCTTCAGGCAACTTAAGTCCTTTTGGGACTTTCATATATATGTTAGTATCTAATTCTTCATATAGATACGCGGTGATGACATCCATAAGTCGCATATAAAGTTTTTCTGAAATCACCAAACTTATTAAGTAACGGAACGTAATTGCGTCAATTACAGGAAAGTATGTCTCTTCATAATCAATTCCAAGTCTTTATGAAAAACCTTATGCAACGAGTCGTGCTTTATATCTTGCAATCTCATTTTTCTCGTTGCGTTTCCTTGTGAATACCCATTTGTAACCTCGAGGTTCACACCAGGTAGGGTTTGGACTACTGGTCTAAAAACCCTTCGTCTTTCCAAGGAATTTAATTCTACCTGGATTGCATCTTTCCACTTGCGCCAATCTTGTCTCTATCTGCATTCATCAACAGAACGGGGCTCAATATCATCACTTAATATAATTTCAGTGGCTATTGCAAATGCAAACATGTTGTCCATGATTATTTCATTTTGATCCCACAATTCATTAGTACATGCATAATTTATGGATATTTCTTTGCTTTCATGTACTTCTGTCTCTTCAGGGACAGGTGTCTAATCAAGGACATCTTCTTTTTCTAGAAGTACAGAATCATGAATTGTGGATTTATCATTCATTTTCTTTTCTTGAATGATTTCATTTAGGTTCAATTGTACCCTTATCTTTCTCTTTCAAGGGGCTAAATCTTTTGAACCTGGGGGTCTACCATGCTTCAGGCGTGCACTGGATGAATCATTCGCTGCCCCTTTATTTTGTCCAACAGGGACATCAATTCTTGCAGGTGTGTTTGTAGCTGGTATATGTGACTTTGTCACTTTGAAAGCATCATTAAATGCATCTGGCATTTGATTAGCAATACCTTGAAGATGAACAATCCTTTTCACTTCACTTTCACATTGAGTGCTTCGTGGATCAAAATGAGATAAGGTGGGAACAACCCATGTCAGCTCTTGCCATTCTTCTGGAACGGTCTTTTCTCCCCTTAACGACGAGAAGACTGTCTCATCAAAATGACAATCAGCAAAACGAGCTGTAAACATATCACCAGTCAAAGGTTCCAAATATCTAATGATAGATGGTGAATCAAAACCCACATAAATTCCCAGTCTGCGTCAAGTCCCATTTTAGTTCGTTGTGGTGGTGCAATAGGCACATAAACAGCACAACCAAACACTCTTAAATGTGAAATATTTGGCTGATGTCCAAACACGAGTTGTATTTATGAGTATTGGTGGTTAGCTATAGGTCTCAGTCGAACCAATGATGCTGCATGTAAGATGACATGTCCACATGCAAAGACTGGCAATTTTGTTTTCATGAGCAGAGTACGGGTTATTAATTGAAGCCGCTTGATAAATGCCTCTACTAAACCATTTTGTGTATGGACATGAGGAACAAGATGTTCAACATCAATACCTAGTGCCATGCAGTAATCATCAAAGGTTTGAGACGTAAATTCACCAGCGTTATCAAGTTAAATAGACTTAATGGGATGATCTGGGAATTGTGCTCGCAACTTAATTATCTGAGCAAGAAGTCTCGCAAAAGCTACATTTCGAGTAGACAATAGGCAAACATGTGACCATCGGGTAGATGCATCAACCAAAACCATAAAATATCGAAATGGTCCACAAGGTGGTTAAATAGGTCCACAAATATCCCCTTGAATTCTTTGCAAAAATGATGGGGATTCATCATCAACCTTTAGTTGTGATGCTCTAATTACCAACTTCCCTTAGGAACAAGCCTTGTAAGGGTTATCATTTGAAACATCAATGTGTCTGCTTAATAATGGATGTCCATTAGAGTTGGTAATGATTCCACACATCATGGTAGATTTTGGATGACCCAGACGGTCATGCCAAAGCATGTAAACCTTTAAATCAATGAACTTCTAGTTCATGACAGTATATGCCTCAACTGTCTTTATGTATGTATAATACAATCCACTCGATAAACCATGCAACTTCTCTAATATATGCTTCTGGGTATCATTGGAGGTAATGCATAAATATTCCACATTTCCTACACTTTTCGTTTCAATGTGGTATCCATTTAGATGTATGTCTTTAAAACTCAACAAATTTCGAATGGATCGAGTAGCGTATAATGCATTCTGTATAGACAATATTGTTCCATTTGGTAACATAATCTGGGCTTTTCCTGAGCCTTCAATTACATCTGATTGCCCTGATATTGTTGTTACCTTTACTTTTGCAAGTACCAAATTCGAGAAATACTTTCGATCTTGAAATATTGAATGTGTGGTTGCGCTGTCTACAAGACAAAAGTCTCCGCCATTGCTCTTGTTTTGAGAATAACCATAATTTTTATCCATGTTCTCTGAGTAAAGAAAAAGCAGTTTATTCATACTGGAATACTACTTTTATTGAATTGAAAATGCGTGCATTAAACCACAAGTACAAATAACAAGAGTACATTAAACATAAATAATTTAATCGGACCCATAAACTTCATTCCCTCTTTCATTAATAAAGTCTGTAGCATCCAAGTAGGTTGTGTTTAACTGTCCTGATAAATTGGTCACTGGATCAGGTGTTCCCATTGGTTGAGCCTAGTCGAAAAAATTGATCTCGACACCCTTCTCCTTGAAGGAGGCTTGATACATATCCACCAGATGCTTTGGCGTGCGATAAGTGTTGGAAGTATGCCCACAAAGCCACTCATTTGATGTAATAGCTTTTTGGAATACTTAATGTATTAAACTTTTATATGTTTAATGAAGGGCAAAGCTTATTGTTAATCACTATTTATTGTATCATGTGTTTAAGCAATAAGGGAATCCTAGGGATGTATTTGATCTAAGAGACAAGTGATCTAAGTGAGTTAGATTATCGAGACCATTCTCTTATGTTCATTCCTAAAACGTTCCTAGCCATAGGATTGCCAATTGGGCATTGACAATCCGCTAAGGTTAGTATGTGTTATGTTGACTCAAGCGTGAGTATGACTAGTCTCAAGTCATTTGGTGTTGGAAACTAAGACAAACACATAGGTGCTCGAAAGAGTAATCGAGTACACTGAACAACGATCAAAAGAGAGTTCGAACATACATGTCATGTAAGAACTCGAAAGTTGCAATATGCAAAGTAGTCCTTTGACCTGAGGCATCATAGATGTCGAATGGTTAGGTCCTTGATCTTTGATCATATCAACGACATTCCATCGGAGTGTCCACGGCATTGTTGGGGTCAAGCTATCTAGTCGTGTAGGCATATGAATGCACAACAAGGGATCTCTAACCTTCCATGGTGGAAGGAGAATACTCTAAGATATGATTCTAAAGTCTTTAGCCAAAGCATATGAATATGACTTAGGAAGTTTGTTCCAAATTATATTCAAGGGAATCATATAGATATGTATCACATTGGATAGTAGACATGAAACAAACTATCACTCAAATAATGTGATTAAGAGTATTGTATTAGAGAAGGACCGTATTGCATTGTAGTTGTAACTGGATAGGTTCTCCAACCAATTCTACTTAGCTTGGGTAACCATGACATACTGCTAGGTGTCACTCATGGTTTGTGGAAGCCCTAATGACTAGCAAACACTAATCATAAAGGGAGAATTGAAATGTGGTTTCAATTCACAATCGATCGTTAAGAGTAACAATCGCCCACTACCTCGCTAATTGGAACCTAATAAATCGTACACCGAGTAAGGGCGATAGTGAAGAAATTAAATGAAATGGATATGCAATTAAATGGTTTAATTGAAGAATGGTCAAGATTAATTAATTAGTTAATTAATTATACGAAAGGTTCGTATTGGGCTTTTAAGTTGGTTTTGGGTTTCGGGGCCCAAAAGTGTTTTGGTCCATAAGGCCCATTATGTTTAAGTTGTATGACAACTAAAACAAAATGGGCAATAAGCCCAATCACAACATATAGGCCGGCCATGGTGAGGAGATGGTGAAAGTTTGCTTAATTGCAAGTTTGCCACTCACCAAAGAAAAATGTTATAAAAGCAACTTTATAGCTATTTTCTAATTAGGGTTTTCTTTGAGGCAAAGAGGTGAAACATTTTCTCTCTTTCTCTCTACAAAGAGGCCGGCCACTTAGGGAGATTAATCTAGCAATCTCTTCTTCCCTAAGTCATCCATTTCATCTTCACACTTAACCCTTGGTGTGGAGACTTAGAGACACCAAACTTTTGGTGTTTTGGAGATCCTTTCCTTACATCCACAAAGTCCAAAGGAGCACAAAAGGAGAAGGAAATCACAAGCAATATCCAAGTAGCTAGGAGGTGACTTGAAGGCCCTCCACTTGGGTGAATCTCTTGTGTAAACAAGGATGAGCTTCAAGGGTAAAGAAACTCTAAATCTTTACTTCTCTTTAATGTTGTTAAAGAGTTTATTGGTTCACCATATACTAGGCTTTGAAAGTCATGGGTTTAATGAATTGTTTTTGAATGCATGCCTACTTTAAAGTGTTAATAGTTTGCATATGTATTCAAATGTTCTTACTTGTTCTTAGCTAGGACAAAATTTTTCCTTCAATAAGTACGCGCCCAATGTCCATTGCCACCACACCTATAGCAAACTCTTTCAGGATTTCTAGGAGTGTTCATATAAGCTTCCTTTCTGGGCATTTTTAAAGCTCGGCCTAGATTATGCCTTGGAACCTGGTTGTGAAACTGGACACCATGGTTCTTGCCTTTCCCATTACACCGGCCTCGCTTGTGGCCACGTCCTCGTTTGTAATTATTGCCACGGGAGGATATGGTATTCCCTTCAAGGGAAGCAGCATTCATTTCTGGGAACGGTGCTGATCGGGTCGGTCGGGACTAATGATTTTTCATCAGGAGCTCATTGTTTTGTTCAGCTACCAAGAGCACATATATCAACTGGTTGTATTCAATGAAGCCTCGCGCTCTATACTGCTGCTGCATGAGCACATTAGAGGCATGAAATGTGTTAAACGTCTTTTCCAGCAAATCTTCCTCAGTAATAGTATCCCCACAAAGCTTCATCTGAGATGTAATTCTGAACAATGCGAATTGTACCCTACCACTGACTTGAAATCCTGGATCCTTAGGTGAGTCCATTCATAGCGAGCTCTTGGAAGAATCACCGTTGTCTGGTGATTGTATCTGTTTCTCAAGGCCTTCCAGAGGGCTAACGAATCTTCAATTGTTAAGTACTCGCTCTTTAGTCCCTCATCAAGATGGCAACGAATAAAAATCATGGCCTTCGCTCGATCTTGAGAGGATGAGATGTTTTCTTCCCTAATGGTATCTCCAAGATTCGCTGCTTCTAGTACCCATGTAAGGTTATTCTTCCCAGTAATGCTCAGGGCAGCAAAATCAAGCTTCGCCACGTTTGCCATTTTCTTTTCTAAAAGAAAATACGTTGTATTTAAACGTGGTAATTGGTAAAAGCAAGAGGGATCTAAGGAAATACAGAGATGAAAAAATACCCATGAGAATAAGCGGAGGAGATGCTGCCTAATGGAGGAGGAGGAAGGAGGAAGGAGATGCTGTCGAACAAAGAAGGCTGTTGTGGTTCGTGGTTTGTGGTTCGCAGTTCTGAGAAAGAACATGAGAGATCCTTCCGGAAACAAATGGAAAAGCCAAGCTTTTCCCTTCCCACAATAACCAACACGTGTAGACGTTCTTTATCATTGTTTATCATTTTTGTGCCATAATTCTGTGGCTGGGTTTAACTTCTAATATTTTTTAATCATATTTTCGTCCTACAACCGATATTTTATCAATTTTTATCTTTTTCTGTACCACAAACCATGTGAGCAGGTTTAAACAATCAAGAACAGGTTAAAAGAAAGGCTTCACAGATGGTGGACACGTGGTGTAGAAGAGCACCAAACCGGGCGCTCATGATTTTTAATCATTTTCTTTCCCTACATCTAATTTTTTATAGTTTTTTATTGTTTATCGTGCCAGAAAACCATGTGGCCACATTTAATTCACATTTTAAAATAATTTTGTCCTAGCACCCATTTTTTATCATTATTTTATCTTTTTCTGGACTAAAGAAGTAAAGAGGGGCAAAACGGCAAATCAAGTAAAAAATTAGGGGCATTTCTGTCCGCACACTATAGATCAATAGTGCCACTTGAAAACTCAGTTTTAGTATACATTAGCAACTGCGTCCGTGCGATGTTGCGAGTTTTTAAATAGCATATAACATGTAGAAAGTTATATTTGCAACTTTGCTTAACTCAATCTATTTACAACTCTACGTAACTCAAGGAATAGATAAAAGTTTGTTTCGAATAGATCAACGCTTGAAGTTGCAAGAAAAATAAAAGAATCAATTTATAAGCAGTTGGAAGAATCATTATTTGTAAAAAAAATTGTTGATTCAAATATAAACAAATGAAACCGACTGTAAAAGAAAGGCTTACCGAATGTTGCTCCAAACTGAGTTCAAAATGAGTGTAGTTGTGGAAATTTTGTGCAACATTCTATTGAAGAGATGTAAAAAGTAGATCACAGAATATTTACGTCACCGTAAACAAAGATGTTCGAAGTTGTTTATACATAAAATATTAAACTTGTACAATCCAAATACAAAAGATTAAAACCTGTTTACAAATGGACAAAAAATAATACAGTGATTGATTGGATTCTACCACTTGCATCTACCTCTCAAGTGGAACTAGCATTTATATACAAAAAATTAATGAATGCTGGTTTATGTACATGCAAAAAATATTATGAAGTTTAGACCAAAGAGACATTTACATGGCAGGCAAATATTATCAATATTGTTTGATACATATTAAAAAAAAACGGTTAATGCGTTTCTATATTGGAGATAGAGTTTTGGCACTGTATCGTTCATCCTTAAGCAAGCAAGCTAGGGAAAAGAAAGAAAATAATATAGTTAGATGGATATTAGATATATATATATCAAAATAAATGTAGAGCAAAAAAGGAAGCCATGTTTAACATATAGCAACCTAGTTGGTTTTTTCAGGAGTGGTATCAGGTTTTCTGCTAGTTGGTGACGATTTCTTTTTGAGCAACTTGATTGGAACTTGATCAAACTCACCGGGAACTGGGAAAACACAAAAATCTTCATATCTCGTCCAATTCTTAACCAAAATCAGTAAAACTTGCACCAATTTAAAGCTTAGGAGGAGTAGAACACAACCATACCTGTTTTGGGACCTAAAATCCACAGAAATTTGTTGTAGATCCTTCGATAATCCGACCAAACTTTGAACTCGTCGATCTCGACTTCCCAACGTCCAATTCACCTTGTTTTCTTCTCCGAGCTTTGTGGAGAAGTCCTAAAGCTTCCTAGAAGCTCAAAAACCACTGAAACCTTAACATTTACGTGTGCATGAACAGTGCACCAAAACTGGGTATCTCGGGTTCTCGGGTTTTGAAGGTTTCATGACCAGAAAAGGGTATGGTTCAGCTTGTGACGATGAGATGAAGATGATGATGATAACTACGAGCTCGATTCGTGATGGGAAGTGAAGCTTCAAGGTTGTCAATACGACTTGTATGGAAGATAGAAGAAATCCGAGAGTGAAGAGAGAGAGAGAGAGTCAGCGGGAGAGAGAGAGAAAAGGTATGGGTGTTTGTGTGTGTGGTCCTAGTTGGTCACAAACCAAACAAAACTAAGTCCTTTTTAGTTCCCTTAGTTCTAAAAACTTAGGAAAATAATGGATGGATCCAAAACCTAAGTACACAATACACACAACACACTTTAACATCCAAGGGTATATAAGTAATGTCACGCTATCGAAAATAAATATTTCGGGACGGGTTGTCACACAACAACTGGGAGAACGAACAATACCGTTTCCTGAAAATACAAAACACAACCAAATCATACACTCATAATCACAACCACTACATAGAAGCACAAAAAAAAAAAAAAAAAAAAAAACAACAGAACACCGTTTGCTAAAAATAAAATGAGAATCAAACCACACAGTCACACTTAGAATCCCAACACAGAAAAAAAAAACCCTACTATTCTATAAGTCTCACCCCCATAAAAAATCCAAAGGAAATAGTTTACTCTAAACCTTCAAAATCAAGTAAACCCAAATTCAAACAAAAAACCTAACTATAAATACAAAAATAAAAACAAAAAAGGGCAACCAACTCGAAACCTTCAAAATCAAATAAACCCAAATTCAAACAAAAGACCTACCTCTAAATCCAAAATTAAGAAAAAGAGGCGAAAGAGAGAAGCAGAAAAACGAAAGGAAAAAGTGAATAAAGAGAGGAGTGAAAACGAAACAAAAAGGGTAAAATCCTCTCAACAGAAACATATCGATGATCAATACGTGGAAATCATGTACTGAAAAAGCAGAGCGTAACCCAAAAAAAAAAAAAGAGAGAGCAAACGTGGGGGAAAGAAAAAAAAATAGAAAACAAGAGCTGAAAACCCAAATGCAATAGAGAATCAACACGTGGTCTGCTCTACCCAATATATGTATATGTACATTTATTTTTCTCCCACTTTGCACTTCGCATTTATTATCTTTTTTTCGAGGAATGGGCCTTCGTTACTACCACCACGCAAGTGCAATCACACCCCTCTTTTCTGTTGTCTTTCTCTGAAATGGAAGAGGACGATCAACGCGTTGGTCTTCGTATTTATTATCTCTTTGTAGTTAGCTTTTTTCTTTTGGCTTTTTATTAAAGGCTTCGGATGTAGCAATAGAGGGGAGTACACATTTTTTAATATTTTTTTGGTCTTCCCACTAGCTATACATGGGTTTAAAAAATTAAGAAGGTATAAATTTTTATTGTTTGTTGTGCCACAAACTATGTGGCCCGATTTTAATCACATTTTTTAAATATTTTTTTTTGTCTTCCCTGTGACAGCCTGTCCTGAAATATAATTTTCAATGGTGTTAATTGCCTAAAATACCCTTAGACGTTGTGGTGTTGTGTGGTTTAAGTTGTGTTGTGGACCAATTATTTTCTTTCTAACCTTTTTGGACCCAATAAGAACTAAAGGTTCTAATTGTTTTGGTTGGTTGTAAGAGGATCAGGACCACACACACTCACACACTCTATCTCTCTTCCCTCTCGATTTTCTCCATTTTCGTACCATACGTGCAGATGAACCTCAACCAAACCATTTCTTCACGGATCAAGGTTATGGAGACCATTTTCAAATTCCTTAAGGGTTCTAATTGTTTTTGCTTGCAAGTGGTACAACTTGTACATGTGAACTCCTAGCATTCACAAATAATCAAAAACCCTCAAGCTTTACAACTCAACTAAGAGAGCACTTATGCCTAACAAGAGTTATAGGAACCAACAAAGTCTTATTGCAAGCCAACAACAACTTTAGTACATGGTATACGAAGATCAAGCTATTCAGCCCTCTTACATCTGCTTCACACATTTCTTCTCTATAACAATGCAAACACTACAACTCATAGAAAGCTTCACATACTCTTCATCAAGACTATTCGAAGCAAATTCAATTTATATGGTTCATCCAAACCTTCGACTATTACAAGGTGTGGCTTGTATATGTTGTCTCTCCTACATTTTCAAATTTCCAGTTGTCCCAAAAAAAATCAAAATAAAAAAAATCAAAAAAGGGAAATTGGGAAATTCAACAGAGCTTCATCAATGGAGGGCAACCACAATTCTCAAAAGCTTCACACACTCTTGATCAAGACAGTGTGAAGCAAAACCAATTTATGGTGCCAACAAGAGCTTCATCAATGTAGGGCAACCACAATTCTCAAAAGCTTCACACACTTTTGATCAAGACAATGTGAAAAGCTTCACCCAATTCTCAAAAGCTTCACACACTCTTGATCAAGACAATGTGAAGCAAAACCAATTTATGGTGCCAACAAGAGCTTCATCAATGGAGGGCAACCACAATTCTTAAAAGCTTCACACACTCTTGATGAAGACAGTGTGAAGCAAAACCAATTTATGGTGCCAACAAGAGCTTCATCAATGGAGGGCAACCACAATTCTCAAAAGCTTCACACACTCTTGATCAAGACAATGTGAAGCAAAACCAATTTATGGTGCCAACAAGAGCTTCATCAATGGAGGGCAACTACAATTCTCAAAAGCTTCACACACTCTTGATCAAGATAGTGTGAAGCAAAACCAATTTATGATGCCAACAAGAGCTTTATCAATGGAGGACAACTACAATTCTCAAAAGCTTCACACACTCTTAATCAAGACAGTGTGAAGCAAAACCAATTTATGGTGCCAACAAAAGCTTCAACTTCAAAGCTTCACCTACAAAAGCTTCAACTCCGAAGCTAACCTGCAAAGCTTCAACATAAAAGCTTCACCTACAAAGCTTCACCTACAAAGCTTCACGCTTCACCTACAAAGCTTCACCTATAAAGCT